TTAAGCAGCAAAACTGTTTCCAATATTGATATTAAATCAGCATATTAGAATGATTTCTGAAGGATCATGTGACACAGAAGACTGGAGTATTGGCTGATGAAAATTCAGCTTCGCATCACAGGAATACATTATATTTTAAAGTATATTAAAATAAAAAACAATATTTTAACTTGCAATAATATTTCACAATATTACTGTTTTTCTGATAAAAAAAATGCAGCCATGATGAGAAGAAGAGACTCAAAATAACCAGTAAATGACCGTTCTCAAATAGCAAGCTGTTTAGGTGGAAAAAAATCACGACAATTCATTCTATCCCATGTATGAATAATATCCAACAATTTTACCACTTTATGAGCTTATTTTACTAAAAAAATATTTTTCACAGAAATCTCCAATTTGCTCCTGTGGGATGTTTTGTAAAGCTTGTCTAAGTTAATAACACCAACCAAGAGAGAGGGGGCGGACTGAGTTTAGAGAAGAGCCAAGCAAACTCCATGAAAGAATGTATAAATAAAATGGATATGCGTTTGAATGCTTATAAATAATAATCAGTATTCACTGCAGAATGATCTTTGCACATCATCTAAAGAGTGATTGACTCCATCTAGTGGAGAGAATAACTCTCTGCCAGCATGCGATTCCACACATGGCAACAGTTTGAAACTCACTCTGAATCATAACCAAACACAAGACAGGACAGGACATAACCCTACTCAAGATGAGCTTAAGATGTCATTCGTCACAGTCAGTTGGCTCAAGTGTAGCATGCAAAATATAATTTCCTCATCCACATGAAGTCAAATTACAGGTATAAACTTGAAATGTATTGTTAACTATGTAGTTTTTGGTTTAAAACCAGGATTAAGCTGTGGCGTTTCCATTCCTCTGCACAGAAGTGAACAGTTTGCTGTGCATTAAGTTTCTGTAAGCCTTTGTGCTGTAAATCTACAGTCTTTGTTTATACAGGATGTACAATAAAACTTTGAGTCAGTCATTTAGGTTTGTTTCTCAACCACTCATGCCAATTTGTGCTATCATTCAAGACACTGCGTTGTTTAAAAAGTTGAGTAAGAGAGGATGTGGAAAAGGAGAGAAGCAGTGAGAGTGTGAGACAGATAGAAAGCAGGAGAGAGCTGTCACAAATGAAGACAGCTGTCAGCTGGGATTGGTGAGGGTCAGAGGTTAAGGAGGAGAACAACGGGGGTGGAGAGTGGAATCTCAAACAACAGGAAAAGACTTCTACACACAGACTCCGGAACTCTCTTTGAGAGATGGTGACAACCAGACACCTTCAGCAGATCAGCTGCTCTATTCTAGCATTATGTGTAGGATAGCCCCTTCTCATCAGTGTGAGAGGAGACTCCATGGCCCTGTTCTAAATGTCACTCAGAATTTTTGGTAACAATGCCACATATACTGTCTGGAAGTAGTCCACTGCACTACAGACACTGCAAGAGGACGGACTGATGTGGGAAATCATAAATCATAAAATGTGAAATATATCAATACGGTGACATAGACTTCATGGACATGCATGAGCGAATGCAAATTCCTATCAAGTGTGCCATTTGGGACAGGGCCCAGGGCAGTGGGCTTCTTAAATTCTTTTGCTGGATTGTACTGCCCCCTGTCAGTAACAATTGTTACTACATTTGATAGTTTGTAAAGATTTTAAGTAGGCCTTCAATTAAAATATAACACTTACATATAACTTTGTTTAATAATTCAGTTTTCTTATAATTAACCTAATGAAATACTGATTTCTTATTAATATCAGTTATTGGATTCACTTTTTGTTGTATTTATCAGATGAAAATTATTTAAATGCATTTTGCGAAAGTGAAATATCCAGGTTCTGATTTATTTTGTTCATACACTAAATGAGTCTACAACAATAAATAAATAAATACAAAATCAACAGAAGTCTTGTAAGCTAATAAAGGGTAATAGGTCAAGACAAAACTGACTCACCACTAGGGGGAGTAAGAAAGAACAATGTGCATTTTAGGCTTGCGAAATACTAAAAGCGTGATATTAATTTATCTGAAAAGAGCAATATAAACAGTAAGACAATTATGAGAAAAAAAAGTAATATAATTTATAAGTTATTTATGAATTTCAAAAGTATGCATTATGCATTAACAGGCAAAATATATTAGTGTTTGTATAAATTTGCAAAAACGTCTACATTCATTACAATTTTGGATTTGTTTTATTATTTATAT